TGCCTGGCTGTACCTCCCTCGATAGTGTATCGCCATCTCTCCTTCTCTCCATGCAGCGGTTTGGGCTCCACCCCTCCCTCCCTCCCTCACCGAACGAATGACACAGTCGATACCATCCTCAGCCCCCTCTCTCTTTCTCTTTGTATACATCACTTTTCCTTACAGTCCAGCTACTGCAGGGTTCTTTTTGCACTGTTGACTCATTCAGATTACCTCCTGTTCTTTTGCTCTCCTCGAATCATCCTTTATTGGAGCCGCTTTCTGTTTCTGTTTCAACTCATTCAGTCTTTCTGTCTCATTCAGTTTCTCTTTATGTTCATCCATTGAAATCTCCATCTCTTTGTACTTTAGTGATGCTGGGAAAATTGCAGTGCATATAAATGCAAAAAAAGCTCTATTTAAACACTGTTGGGGTAAAATTAGAAGTTGCATGTGAGTTGTTTAAAATTTGGACGTCTCTCCATCCTTCCTCTCTGTCTTTGTGCGAGTAGGAAAGCTTTATTGTTTCTGTGTGTGTGTGTGTGCATGTGGGACTATGGACCAGTAGTCTATTCAGAACAATAAAACTTAACAGTCAGGCGGACAGGCATCCATCCTGCCTGCCAGCCTGCTTGGCACACACCATTTATTCCATGATCACTTATTTAGTAGCCTGTCTGCCTGAAAAGAGATACAGACCGAGATAGAGAGAAAAATAAGTTGAACCTGCTGCAGCAATAAATACTGAAGCATTTAACACCAGTAAATCCCGTTTCCCTAGTGTTTCATGATAATCCATTTAAAGCTACAACTTTTAATGAAACCATTAAAATCACAATAGATAGATATTGATGTTTTTCTCTAACTAAAATTTTTAGTTATGGTTAGGAAAGGTGATGGTCATGGAAATATAGCAAAAGACATAAAATAACAGTGAAACTGAATGTAAAGCTCAGTTGATATTATCAGATTTGAAATAAAAATGGAGGGTTGACAGGTGACATTACCTCAGACACAATTAGATCAGTGTTTCCAGACCTTTTCAGCTGGTCACCCCTTAAAACAAGTCTGCATGCAGCCCATCATCACTGGTTGCATTATGCCCAGGTCAACCAAACTCTTTCTTTTACTGATTTACTGATTTGCTTTTTGCTTTTTCATTCTCTAAAGTACTGTACTTTATAGTACATATACTTTACATTATGCTTCTAATCTACTACATTTCAGAGTGTTGTACCTTTTACTTCTCTACATTTATTTGACAGTTTTTTCTAGTTGCTTTTCAGATTAAGATCAAGATTAAACCAGCAGTTTCCAAACTTGCTGGCTTGTGTGTACTTGGGGCTCACTGTCAAGATTCTTTTTAGCAGTTAAACCAAAAGTTTCTCTCAACCCCTTCAGATAAACTACAGTTAAAGACAGTTAAAGTTAAAGAGGTCAAATTAAAAGCAAAGGTTAGAGAAAAGTCCCAAAAAGCACAATACAAACTCATGTGGCAGAATTCATGTGATATATAATAATATGTCAATCAAGTATTTATTTTAAGTTTATGATAATATTTTTGTACGTTTACTTAAGTAGTAGTAGTAGTAGTAGTAGTTGAATTTTGAAAGTTTGGACTTATTGTTTTTACATTGTTGTGTTGGTATTTGTACTTAAGTAAAGGATCTGAATCTTTTTCCTTTTTTCTAACTATACACTTTCAATCTTAAAGCGAAAAAAGTTTGTGGGTGTAGCTTTAAATTCAAATTGAAACTCTTACACTGTGTCCACTGTAAAAAAGTGGAATTGCTAACGATGATGGAGGAAGAGGATTTCACCGTGACTCATCTAAAGTGGGAGGAAGAAGCTTTGCGACAATGATAATGATGATGAAGAGAGTTTGTGTGTTTGGGTGGGGGAGGGGCCTCTGTCATAACGCAGGGTGTTGACTGTGTTATTGTCTGGTCAGGCTGCAGACTGGATGGCTTTAATCAAATAAACAGACACTGCTCTCTCTACCACGCTCCACTCGACTCGTAACAATAGCCTCCACAGCAGCTGCATGCAGTGTCTCTCTCTGAGGACTGAATTTCACTCATAACACAAATCCACATCTCTGGTGCTTTGGAGAAACTACTCAAGCTGAAATAACCATTTTTGGCTACGATGTTGTTTTATTCACATTCATTTTAATAGGTGGCACACAGGAAGTTGTTAGCAGTCAGTACATAGCGCATGGCTTCAGATAACTTTTTTTATTCCAGAATAAAAGACTCATTATTTTCTTCCCACCAGCAGACAGTCTGGAGATTATTTTCTCATGTCAGAGTCATCACTGTCACAGTCCTGCTGGCTGCAGGAAGACAGTAACTGTCCTCCAATTTCATTCCAGCTGTGAGCCAGTTGTGGCTGTGATGATGAGATTTCCTGTTTTTCTGCAGGATGATTCATTTTATTATTTCCTTACATTGCAGCAGTGTACACAGTAACATGAACACATACCCAATGTAAAGTAGAGAGTGCAGTAAAGTGAGTGTGCAGCGTAAGGATGTTTTCATTGAGACCAAGTCAGAGAGGTGTTGAAAGAAGATTATTCATTTTGAGGATGTAGTTTGTGGTTGTATTGAATGCATTATTTTAATGATGTCCCTCTTCTGTAAGAGTAAAGAGAAACAATATATATATTTAAATATTAACAGAAGCATAAATGTATTAAGAATCTTATTCATAGATTTGGCTGCTTAATAAAGGAAGCCTGCCATCTGCTGGGCATTAAAAATAACTCCCAATAAAATTATTGTGTAAATAGTCAGTGTATTTACATGTGTCTGTCTATTCAGGACATTGTTTGTGACAGCAGTCATATGACACCTGTAATGTTAAAGATCAGTTCACACACAGTAAGAGCTCTTTGTAACCACTCTTCAATATAACACACATGACCGTTTTTAATGTAAGTATTTTGTATTCCACATGTCACATGTTCTTCCTGCAATAGCATACAAACAGGAAAGATAATGATGAATTAGGCTCCCAACGCTAACTCTAGAATTAACTTTTGGTAATAAGTTGAGAGCAGTATTTTTTTGGGCTTTTATTGCCTTTATGATAGTGACAGTCGAAGAGAGACAGGAAAGGGGGGCAGAGAGAGGGGATGACACGCAGCAAAGGGCCGCAGGTCGGATTCGAACCCTGGGCTGCTGCAGCAAGCCTTGGGCTTCGCAGCAGCAAGGGACTAAGCCTCGGTACAATGGGCTCGCCAGCTCTACCACTGCAGCCTAACCGGGCACCCATCTTCGCTTAATTTTAAGGTCATGCCAGTCAACCTAAACTTTGGCCTGAAGGAATACAGAATCACAAGCTTCCTCGGGGTGCCTTTGCTGCACGAAAATGAAAGCCAGAGAAAAAACACGGGATATGGTCTTTTTACCTCTCATTATTAGCATTGCACACTTTGTTTTATAAGCATTTGCCAAAACTGAAATTAACAAGTAAGACACTTAGTTATCACCCGAAGAAGCTAAAACCCTATGAAATCAAGCACAAATAAGCTTAAAAGGCTATAACTGGAAGATTTGAAAGTTGACCCCTCCTCCTCAGTTCAAGTGAGCCAGAGAGAGAGCACTTTGTTGAGCGTACATAGGAGAATGAAATGAGGAGGAGCAGCCAACATTAGCAAGAACAAAGCAGTGAAACCATGAGAAAAAAAAACTTCACAAGAAACTCCAAGGCACTCTCTTTTAAACCATCCAAATACCTTCATTATCACACATGGCCATGGGTTAATTGTTTAAAAAGAGTGTGCCTGGGAGTTTTTCTGCTGATTTTTGGGTGTCCATAATGTATCCTTAACCAAAAAAAAAAAAAAATGGGAGCGCCTCACACAAACTCAAACTGCATCCATGAACTCAAACCTTTTTTTGTTATTTTCTTCTAAAGCACAAATACACCCACACACACACACCCCACACACCCTGCAGGGAAAATGCTGTACTTCTTAGCATTTTGTGTGAATGCAGGCCTTGGATTGGACAGATACTGACACACAGAGCTGCCGCTCATCTATGCCAGCTGCAGCACACAGACTGTTGTATGCTTGTCCACACGTAATGAATATATGATGCAGTTTGTACATGTTTCATGACAGCGTGCCCTCTGTTCTCCTCTCACATCCCACGAGCACAACGCTTTCAGCTCTGTGTTCATCTGCCCCTGCCTCGCAACCAGTTTACAGAAAACAGAAAAAATGTGTTTTTCAATCTGGTGAAATTCAACCCCTCTCTCGTCTCTCTCTCTCCGTCTCTCCTTTAGGGAGGACTCATCATCAAGAAGCGGCAGTGAAACGGGCCTGCCTGCCCTGGACCCCGCCCTCCTTCCGCTGCCTAACAGACAGCGCATAGGTCAGGGAAACCGAGGTCGTCAATGGCAATGGCGCCCGCCCCACTGGACTTCAGCACGCCCACTTCCTCCTCATCATCGTCCGAGGACCAGCAGCCGATGAACCTGACTGACCCGCCCCCTCAGCGCCTGCCCTTGTCCACTTCGCACCTGCCTGTAACTGTGTCAGCAGCGGCTGCCGCGCTGCTCGGTGCCCTGCATCCCAACGCGCCCGAGGAGCTCCGCAGGAAGTACCCTCTGGCTGCCAAACCTCCCCTGGCTCCACACCCGGCCCTGCCGCTGCCACACACACACAGCCTTCACACACATAATGCACACACTCCCAACACACACTCCCAGTCCCACGCTGCAGAGCTGCGACTGGACCGAGACGGCAGGGACTATGGGGGCAAGGTGAGACCACATGGCGCGCACACACACACACAGATTTAGTAAGGAAAGAGTTAATCTGACATGATTCTTTCCACTCCTTTTCATCTAATTTAGGCTGTTTATCATATTTATCATCTACACCACTGATGTCAATCACATACAGTATAGATATAAAAACAGTCACTCCTACAGACAACTGAGTCTCTGTTTCAACCTGCATGTCTTTAGGCTATCAGAGAAAAGCAGCACTGACTTGAGAACAACAAGCACATTTCAAACAGAAAAGTTCATGTCCAACTTAATGCTTCGAGACAACAGTGCTAAGAAATCATCTGATTGTTAAGTTATTGCAAACAGTTGACGTTTAGCATCCAGGCCACCGTAACTAACAAAACAAACCAATTTAATCAGTTTATAAACTTATATCACCATTAAAGGAAAGGTTTGACATTTTGGGAAAAACGCTTATTCGCTTTCATACCGAGGAGACTGATAACACTTACACATCTTTACATCTGTTAGTATGAAGCTACCACCAGCAGTCAGGTAACATAGCTTAGCATAAATACTGGAAACAGGGAAGTAGTTAGCTTGTTCAACAATAGTTGGACACATAACATCCCGCAAAATGGTGATTTGTCATTTGATCAGACAAATGAGATATAACACATTAATTAGTGAGCTTTAGAAGTGCTGGTAGCTGCTGTTTATTACCTGTGGACAGAGCCAAGGTAGGTATTACCCCCTGTTTCCAATCTTTGTGCTAAGCTAAGCTAACAACCTGCTGGTTGTACCTTCATATTTACTGTACAGACATAACAGTGATACCAATCTTATAATTTACCCTCTGCAAGAAAGCAAATCTGCGTATTTCCCCAAAATATTGACCTGTTTCCTTAAAGTAAAGTGAAACCTGAGCTATAGTCAATGTAATGTTAGTAAGTCCGATAAGGACTGAAACCATTTCAGAATAACACCATTATACGTGGGTGTTTTACACCCACTGATAAACTATTAAGTAACCCCTGAAAATACAATTGTAAAGGAAAGTCAGCTGAATATAAAAGTAAAACAGATTTTCTATGACAGTCGCTAACAAAGTTAGTACAGCTTCTGCTCTGCTTTCTCTCCTTACTGCTCTTTCAGAAGCTTCCATTTATTCATATATTCAAATAATTTGAGAGTAAACATGAAATCTTCATTTGATTTAGTTAATTGCCACATCCACATCGTCTTATTTATTCTCATTTGTAAAGAGGGGTCAGCAAATGGAATTGGAAAATAAAAAGATTGAGGTAAAAAGTGAGGAGAGATGAAGAAAGGAGGTGAAGGCTGACTCTCCTTCGTTCCTCCTGCCGCTGTCTTTGTACACAGATGAATAGCAGAACCTGATACACAATACACAGTGGCCTCGGAGTAAATGCATTACCGCCAGACAGTCTACCTGGAGGACGCAAACACACAGACACACACACCCAGCTACATACAATCCTCACACAGTCCTTTTTGTTCCTGCTTGCATTCTGTGTGCACCTTTCACCTGTCAGACTGACTGACTTCCATCTCTGGGCACAAAAATATTAAATACACTAGAGTTAGTTTTATTTTTTGTGGGCTTATATCTGCCTCCATAAAGTCTGTCGATTGTCTCCACCAAAGACCTAAATCATTGTTTTTAAGGACCTTTTCATTGGCTGTCACGTCCTAATGAGACTCTTAATAAGTGTTTTATGAAGGAAATCCACTGTAACAATGAACCTCCATTGTCCATAAATGGTAAAAACCAGTGCATAGATGTATAAATGTAATTAAGACACTCACAAAATACAGTAACACTGCAGTATGTGTGTGTGTGTGTGTTCAGTCCCCCCAGTACAGTTCAGGTGGCAGCTACGACAGCGTGAAAATGGACTTGAGTGCCGAGGACCTGACCATGGGGCGTCATGGCAGCCAGGTTGCCCCCGACGATGACGACGATGACCACGACGACCACGACGACAACGACAAGATCAACGACACAGAGGGAGTCGATCCCGAGAGACTAAAGGCCTTCAACGTAAGTCAGAGACGGCGTGTTGGATCAGACCTTCAGTTCTGTCTCACACCATGTCCCCGCTGGGATCAATAAGGTGTCTCCTTATATTCATAAAGAAAAAATATTAAAGAGCTGACTGTCTGATCTCCCTTCAGTGGCATTGATCACACACTCACATGATGGCAAAGGCAAGAAACTATCAAAGACCTTGAAAATACAAATGGAGGAACACACACACACACAGACACACTCAAGCAGCTGCAGAGTTGGATATTTTCTTAAGAGGCCAAACCTCTAAAGAGCTCAAATGAGAGTGAATACTGGACTTCAGTGTTCATCAGTGGGGCAGAAACATGACTCCAAATGAATGATAATGTCTCTGAGGATGTGTAAATGAGCAACTGTTTGCTATTTTATTAAAAAACTTTAAAGGATCATTCCGCTATTTAAACGTGGGCCCTATTTTTACATATTCTGGGGTCTAAATTGGTACAGATGTTTTGGAATTGGTCGAGTACATCGCCTCAGCTGGCAGCTGTGAAACAGGCTGCAATGGCTGCAACGTAATCCCACCCTCATCAAAGTACATCCTCTAAAAGTGCTTGATTTCAACACTGACGGGCTCTGATTGTGTTTGACCACATTATGGGAAGGATCCCTACAGAGATAGACCTTTTGGTTTTTTTTTTTTTTTTTTTTTTTTGGGTTGTTTTTGCATTTATTGACAGCTGAAGATAGACAAGGAAAGGGAGAGAGAGATGAGATGACACGCAACAAAGGCCACACCTGTGTTGTCTGTTTAAAGACCTACAGTGGTCGAACTATGTTGGCTTTTTTAATGATTTAGCCACTATAATAAAGGCTTTATAATGTTTCCTTCCTTATTGTTATTATTCTATTCTTACATTTAAAAAATACCAGATTTACAGTTTAATTTGTCAGTGATGTGTACACACACTTAAGAAGACAACCTACAGAAGCATGGTATATGCAGCCCAGATGCAACCACTTTTCTCAAACAACTATGTGGTTTTTCTGCAGATGTTTGTGCGTCTGTTTGTAGACGAGAACTTGGATCGAATGGTTCCCATCTCCAAACAGCCCAAGGAGAAGATCCAGGCCATCATCGAGTCCTGCAGCAGACAGTTCCCAGAATTCCAGGAACGCGCCCGCAAGCGCATTCGCACCTACCTCAAATCCTGCCGACGTATGAAGAAGAACGGCATGGAGGTACGGTTCCTGCGAGCGTGTTTGTCTGTCATCAGTTATTCTGCTGATTTCCTTGATTAATCGCTTTTCCGTGAAATGTCAGGATATAACATTATAAGTTCCAAGAAATGTGTCGCAGTCCAAAACCTGAAGAGATTTGGTTTAAATAAACTAGAGAAAATAAACAAACCCACCTTGGAGAAGCTGCAACGATGAATCATTTATCCAAATATGTGCAGATATATAGATACAGATATATTAATATTTAATTAAGACATATAAGAGAGAATAATAGCATCAGTATTTGTATGCGTTGGTTCGTTAAACAGCAGCAGTGACTTCTGATCCGGTTTTTATGGTGGTTTTTTTCCGACATGACTTGAATGCAGCATTATAGGCAGTTTGGAGAAATTGGTTTGATGATGTGACACAGACCTGAGACCTGCTCTCAGAAGGCTTTTAGGGTGGCAGACATATAATTCCCCCTTTTCAACCTGCAGACATTTTAGCAGTTATATTATCTGTGTCAGTCTCATCTGGATCTACATCTTGAAAAATGCTCTGCAAAGAAATGTGACTAAACTTTTTCACCCTCAAACTCTACATAGGAGCAAATTCTATTCTTGATTTTTCAGTTATGACCAATAATCTGGTCCAGCCAATGATTTTTAATGTTTTATATTGTACGGTGCAACAGTGGTGGTTGTTTGAGTCAGGGAGTCTGGTTGATGCTGGCTTTGTTTCTCCAGTCAACTCCTGCAGGAACCAGAGAGCTCTTGTTTTCTTGATGGTTTTTAGTCTTAAAGTGTGTTCGCTATCTATGCATGTTTCAGTTAGCGTGTGCTTCAGTCAGTAAAATGTTCTCTATTGTTTTTTCTACACGCTTAAGTGTAGGAAACAAAGGAAAAGGGACAAACACTCTCTGGGGAACTTTTAGAAAGTTCCTGTGGACTAACACAGACGCAAATGCAGACATAGAACAGAGAGAATACACAGATCACAGGAAACTCACATGATTTTAAAAGATATTCTGTTTCAGATTTTCCTGTAAAAACAGGCTAAAACACAAACACACAATCTCAGGATTGTTTAGGACTGTATGGTACGTTTATGTGTGTGATCCTCTAAGGCTGACATGGTTTAGTGTATAAAAAAACAATTATTCTCTCAAAGCTATTGTTTGTTGTTCTGTCCGAATTTCATCAGTTTGGCATTAGCTGCTGTGTTTTTTTACTGTGTATATTTATATTATAAAAGATTTCTTAGCTCGGTAGTAAGATGTTTGACACACTTCGATAATTCATCTTTATAAAAAAGCCTAATGTTGTTGTCCAAAAATCATCATTGTTGTTTATTACTGTCTACATTTTATTCAGACACAGATGCAGAATAAAAGGTCCTAAATATTTATTGTATTACAGATACATATTTGGCCTTGGTTTGTACTCCCTGAGTGTCTGACTGACTTTAAAAAATAACAATAGTATAACATATTTATATATTTATAATGTGTTATATTTGTACTTTCCTGTGGTATTCATGCTCAGGCAACAAACAATTATCATCTTTTGTGAAAAGATGTGGTTGTAAATGGGTTACAACTATAGAAATGACACGCTCTAGTCAATTTATTTCAGTCTACAGGTGTGACAGGTTGCAGAATATTGTAATTTAAGATCTAATAAAGACTACTCTGCAGCATTTCTTCATGTGCATCTATTTGGTTTCAGGTGAGGCTCGTATAAAATTGAATTTCCTCAAGACGATTAACGGAGTAGTTCTTTCTTCTTAAAATAAAAAATAAAATAAAATAGTGACAAACTGACTCAAAGGGACAGATGTGTTCTGCTAATATGTTTCACATTTGATAACACAACATCTGCAGGAGCCAGCAGGGTGTGTGCAGCGACACAGATAATTAATACACTGCAATCTTTACTAGTAATTAAAAAATAATCAAGCGCTTTAACAAAGACACTCGTGCTGTCAGCAGGGTTGAAATTGCTCAACTGGGCAGTGACTGCTCGTCAGTGACATGCTGAGTCTCTAAATATTAATACAAATACTTCATGTAGAGGTCAGAGTTCGTCACTGCCTTCTCTTCTTCTTGGAGCAGTAAACTAAACGTTCCAAAGAGACGTGCTGGATAAGCTATTTTATACTGTAACTGTGAAGTCCAGTCTCAAGTTATAAGATTTGTCTGAACGAAGCCTAATCGCCCATATTAAATAAACTGGCTGTATTAGTTGAGTGTGCAGGTTCAGCTGTAGTGCTGATACAGAGCAGAGGCAGGGTGGCTGAATGCTACTTTACTAACGCAGAAGAGGTGTGTGATGGGAGCTTTAGTTATGTTGAGGCTGACAGGCAAGAGGCTGCTTCACGTCATTGAAATGTCTCTGCTGCCCCCCAGTGGTGAAGCATGATGCTACACACACAGTACAGTAGTCATCGCAAAGGTGTTCTTCACTGTGTTTCTGACACAAAAGGCCCAATGTGCCTTAAGAGTAATCCAGTATGCACATAAGAGTAAAAAATAGAAGAAATCATTAGTTGTTTTATCACCTCCAGATTACACAGAATCAATGAAGCTTAACATAAATCACAATTTCAGAAGACTTAGCTACTGTAATAAAAGCTTTTTAATATTTCCTTCCTCATTGTTATTATTATTTCTTATATTTTTCAGTGCCTGGATTTCCTTCCAGTTAATCTACTGGGCCAGTTCCAAATCCTGTTGTACCTAAAACTTATTTAGACCCCCAAATATGTAAAATAAATAGGGCCCAGGTTTAAAAAATATACTGTATAAAATATATTATAATCATATATACGTCCAGAAATATGGACTGCACAGTCTGTATCCTCCTAAAATCTACCAGCCTGCCTCTGGTCCATTACTTTAGATGTTCTGTCTGAAGATTCTCTGTTTACAGAATTACACCGATAAGTCATAACATTATGAGCACTGACGTATCTGGTTATCATGGCACCTGTCAGTGGGGGGGATATATCAGGCAGCAAGTGACATTTTTTCTTAAAAGTTGATTGTGTTAGAAGCAGTAAAAATGAGCTAGCATAAGATCTGAGTGACTTGCACAAGGCCACATTTGATGTAGACGGGATGGGTCAGAACATCTCCAAACCTGCAGCACTTGTGGGGTGTTCCCGGTCGGCAGAGGTCAATACCTTTCAAAAGTTGTCCGAGGCTCACTGAAGTACGTGGAGAGTGGAGGGCAACCCAACAGATGAACTACTGTAGCTCAAACTGCTAAAAAATGCATCACAGTTTGTTGGTCTGGGGCTGCAGAACATTATGACCACCAGGGTGCCCAGATGCTCATAATCTTGTGGCTGATTGGTGTACATTGAAATCACCTGTCGCTCTAATTGACTCAATAATTTGATTCCCTGATATCATTTTGTTGTGTGCAGACCCGTCCTACTCCACCTCACCTCACCTCAGCCATGGCTGAGAACATCCTGGCTGCTGCCTGTGAGAACGAATCACGCAATGCCGCAAAGAGGATGCGCCTTGAAGCCTATCACGTAAGTGTATGTTTGTGTGTGTGTAATTCAGGTGTGAAAAGAAAATAGCATCACTACATGTTTTAGATTTCACTAAATAATGGACATAAAAGCTAGCAGGCTGCTGTGTCACATAGTTTCAGGCATATTCAGAATCATCATGAACACAACCATCACGACAGAACTGTGTAAATGTTAAAAAAGATACTAAAATAAGTATTTTGGTCTTTCAATAAGAAAATATTTCTTCAAACAGAATAATAAAACTAAATGATTTTTGTCTTAAATGAAGGCCCCAGAAGCATTCTTTTTTTTAATTTGTTTTTAATTTTTTTTAAATTAAACTGTTTCTTCATTTACAACACTAGGAGACTTTTTCAATTCAGAAGTTTTGCGAGTGGTTTTACTCTTAAAATAAGGAAAATAATCTTGTTCCTCTGCTGTGATATTATCCAAATCCTTGTAACTTGTTCCTGGTTAAATCTATTAGCTATAATATCTTTTAAAGACAAAGTTAGATATATTTTCTTTTTCAAGATTACCTTTCTTATGCAAAACAAGCTTGAAAAGACTGGTTCACAGTTTGTCTACCGTTCTAAAAACATCATACAATGATGAATTAAGAATCCAATCCTAATAATTTATATAAAAGTGGGCTTGTGACATTATGAGTCTGGTTTTTCCACTCGTCCAGTCAAGCTTTCTTTTATAGTATTTTGAAAAGAAAACCTCTAATTTCCTGTTTCCTCTTCCAGGATGAGCAGATCTCTATGGACAAGCCGTCCAGCGGTGGAGGAGGTCTGCGGGAGCCGGCGTCCCTCGCTCACTCCGCCTACTCCCTGGCCGCATCAGCCTTCTCCTCCCAGGACACCCAGCTCTACATAAACGGAGCCGGACTCAGCTACGGTTACCGTGGATACCCGGGCCTGAGCGCTGCCATGCAACACCCCGTTTCCCTGACGACTGGCGCTGCTGCACAGAGCAACGGTGAGGATGGGAGACCAGTGGGGGGACAGAGGAAGAGGGTCTTAATGGAGACAGAGAGAAGACGGACAAGACAAAATAATGAGAGGGAAAGAGTGAATAAAAGAGGAAGCAGGCGGGAGGAGGGTGAGAGAAATGAGGGAAGGGATGAGAGAGGAAAAGATGTGATTATGAAAGGAAAGAAGGCGAGCGGGTAATTTGGGGATGAATGAGGAGGAGATGGAGAAGGAGCAGCAGAAGAAAAGAGAGTGGTGAAAGGAGACAGAGCAGCAGATGTGAGCTTAAATATGGAATTGTAGAGTCAAAGTCATTGAAATAAACACAGTCTGAGCTAACACGCTGTTCAAACTCTGAAAACTTAAACTGATGGACATTTGTCTCTTTAGTGGCTCTGTGTCCATCATCTTACCCAGGACAAATCGAGGTTTAACAAATGTTCATTATCTGATTCCCTGTAAATTTAAATCTTCTGCTAAATGACAGAACTAGAGATCTATGATTTCTTTATGGTTTTACAGTTAATATTTATCCTATATCATTATATCTCTGTCATTGTTAGTAATGCCAGTCAGGTCAGCAAAAACAAGATTTTTTGGGGATGTTAAGTTACTCTGAAGGTTAATAAGCAGCTCAGAGTAGCCAGTTAAATGTTGGATTATGAACACTCATAGTACCACCACAACGCCTGACGTGTGTTTAATTCATTTGGTAACATTAAGCCACCGAAACTAGCTGCAGTGCTTAGTGAGATCTTGTATAGCTCTAAGCGTGCTTGCGTGGATGTTTGAGGCCCTAATGTTCTTTCACTCATCCATCAAAAACGTGTAAAAGGAAACACACAAGCAGTCCTTGCTGACCAATCACAGTTCTCGTGGTCTCCATGTGGTGTCCCCGTAGTTGTATTTGTTGGCAGGCACCCGGCAGTCCACAGGCTCCAAAGCTATGCCATAACTCCTTTAACACAACTATAAATCCAGTTTGGTCAGCAAAAACTCTTAATCTGCTCAATGAATCTTTCAAGCTCTATTGTTCTTGTTATGTGGGAACTGGATGAGGTTTATTTGTAACCACAGATGATAAAATGTTACACAAATACAAAGTTTAATGTACAAAGTTCAGAAGACATTACGATTCTACATCAGGAAATGTTTGATGATGATATTCCGACAGTGTCTGTCATTTTGAACTGACTGATCGTTTTCTCTCTCACCTCCTCTCTTCCTTTCACCTTTTATCTATGCATCCTTTTTTTCCCATCAATTTCCCTCTCATCCCTCCTTTCTTTTGTTTATCATTCCCCCTCTCGTCACCATCTTCAGGTCCCACAGACCTCAGCATGAAATCTCTTTCCTCTGCCAACATCAGTAACTCCTCCTCCTCTGCCTCCACCAACAACAGCCTGGGTGGGCGGGGCAGCGGGGGCGCAGGAGGGGGCGGGGCATCAACACAGCTCAGCCATACCAGAGATCACGGCGTTCCGTCGCGAGGTCGCCGGCTACCGGAGTCGACGCTTTCCTGCGTTCTGCTCAGCAGACGCAGCTGGAGAACTCATCCTGGCAACAGAACTGAGTGGCTGGGGGGAGATAGGGAGAACACCACACATAGATCATACACAACAGCCTCAAACGACGACATCAGCTTTATTAATTATGTTTGTGTGTCCCGTCTGGTCTCGTCCTTACGGACGCCTGAATACCGAGAGGTCCGTGCGTTGTTTAGCTCGTCCCTCTTAGAACTGCGTTTGGTCGGTGTTTCGTCTCAGTCTGCCCTTCTCTTGTCAGAGAACTGTGGCACTTTTTTTTTTTTGGAGAAGAAAAGGGGAAAGTGGGGCTAGAGGGGAGGGAGGGAGACCAATCCCACCCCAGCCGTCCCCAAAGGAACAATTCCCCGGACAGACCTCAATTCGATGAAAGAGAAAGAGAAAATGTGAAGAAGAGAAGCACGGTGGTCTGGAGGAGGGCTTCGTTGCCTCGTCCTCTCGTGAACACGCTCACAATCAGCGACTGACATGCTGAGCGAGAGGTGTTGGGGAGAGAAGAGAGAGGAGGGGAGGAGTAGCTGGAAGAAGACGTGCAAGGTGGTTGATTTGCTGCTGTGGTTTGAGGAAAGACAGAGACCTGGCGGGTCGATGTGTGGGTGGG